TCCATCCATTGGTGATTCTGTGTCACCCACATTTTTCTATCTTATGAAGTAGTAGGTTGTAGTCTACTTTATCAAATGCCTTACTGAAGTCCAAATAAATTATATGCACAGCATTTCACTGGTCCACTAATTTTGCCATATAGTCAAAGAATGCAATAAGATTTGTCTGGCATGATCTGTTTTTGACAAACTCATGTTGGCTTCTGGTTATGACTTTGTTTGCCTCTAGGTGTTTGCAAATTGGTTGCTTGATTATCTTTTCCAGAATCTTCCCAGGTATTGATGTCATGTTGATAGGCCTGTAGTTTCCTGGATCCATTTTGTTCCCCCCTTTTTAAAGATGGAAACTACATCAGCCCTTTTCAAGTCATCTGGTAGTTCCCAATGCTCCAGGATTTTTGAAAGATATGGTTCAGTGGTTCTGAGATCACTTCTGCCAGTTTCTTCAGAACATTGGGGGTGTAATCCATCTGGTCTTGGTTATTTGAACTCATCTAGAGAGGATAGGTGTTCTCTTACCATTTTCTTGCTTATTTTGACTTGTGTTCCTAATCTGCATTTTACAGTATATATTTTTTGATAGGTTGGATTGTTTTTTTCTTTTCATGTAAAGACAGATGCAAAAAATGAATTAAGTTGTTCTGTTTTCTCCCTGTTTCCTGTCTAGTCAGTGGTCATTGCCTAATTCAGCCTTACTTACTTGGTTTGTATGTTTATTACAATTTGATTAGTGAAAAGGTAAAAACTAGCATTTAAAAAATAAGTTCTCTGATAAACAGTGTTTCTTTTAACCATGTGGAATTGACAAATGCTCTGCCACTTTCCTCTTCTAACCCTAATAGGAAAAATGATAAAAGAGTGGTATTTTTTTTTCTAACCAATCCAAGAAGAGTAAAAAAAAAAAACCTCTGGAAACTTCTAATCAAGGCTCCAAGAAATGTCCAGGCACAAGGACAAAGTGGAAAAAGGAGCTGAAATCCAGAATTCTTAAAGCAGTTTCATTTCCACCCAGTTTACACACAAGAAATAAGTAGCTCAAGGCTGTAATGCAGAAAATAAATCTCCTTTGTTGTACTTTATGGGGAGATATAACTATTTAGAAAGATCAAAGTCTTTAACGTATTCCAAGGATCAAAGATTAAATTATATATCATTGTGTCAACCCTTCCTAGTCTGTTGGAATAGTTTTATGTGAGCTATAAAATATGAATCATAATGTAGCATAGGAACAATAAAGTGCGGTTCCTTCTAGTTTCTACCTGTGTTTCATTTATTGAAAACTGCTGCACAAAAGCTCTAATTCAGGTGGTGATTGTGACCTACAGCAGAATTCCAGAATAACAGAAAAGGCAAAGTTGGAGGGGATCTGTTGCACTTTTGATTCAAAGTATTTGAACTATAAGTGACCTATTCCTGTATGATATCTGATGTTAGAGGGAAATTAGCCATTATGACAGAGGCTTCCATATCATGTGTCCAAGGCAAAAGCTCAGTATAAAAAAAAAATTGAAGGTAATCTTCATCTATAACAGGCAGGTCAAACTGCCGGCCCACAGGCCAGATGCATCACGCCGAAACTGTGCCCACCCCATTTCCAGCAATGGGGGAAAAGTCTCAATACGTCACGAGTTTGACATGCCTGATTTATAATACAGGAAGTGTGCACAATCTTTATCATCTAAGGGGCAGGTTGTTTATGCTTTTGTCAAGGTTTTTAAATTGTATACCACAAAACCTTAGGGTTTCTTGAGAAAGTGCTATTGTCATCCAAAAGGTTAAAGGCAAAAAAATGTTCACTTTTCTAGAGTCAACTTTTTATTATTAGAGCTTTTTGCCTCTTGAATCAAGGCTCCAGGATTTTTTAACTAACAGATTGTGTAGCCTGAAGTAATAAATTTCTCCTGCCATACTAACCTTCCAAAAGATGGAGATGGTGAAACAAGAAGAGATAGGATCGGTATTGAATGAATATGAATTGAATTCAAGAGAATCACCAGTATGAAAAACATATGTTGAGATGGGGAAGGAGCAGTAAGTTTAAATAAATTGATCAAGTAAGAAAGAGAAGACCAAAAAATTTGAGTGGATGGAGATACTATTCCTACATATATTTATTATATGATTGTATCCTCATTAATTCATGGTATGAATAGAACACATTTTGTTCTATAAATATTTTACCTCTTTCTTTTTGAGTGTTAGGGGTAGGGCAATGTATGAAGCAATGCACAGATGTGTGAATACAAAAATGATTTGCAAAGATGGAAATGTACAATATAGAAATACGGTATACTGAATGGTGTTGATAAGATATGTTAGATTTAGCTATATGTCCCTTTTTATATTTTGTTCCTAACTTCTTTGGCTTACTACTTATTATACCATTTCTGCCTTTTGCACTTACTTACCACAAAATTGAGTTGTATGATGGGTATATATAGATGCTTTAAGGAGCAATACCATGGAACCCCCACTCAAAGCATGGTATATAGTACCCATCCTTCTTGCAGTTATAACTCAGATTTCTGTGGATACAGAAAACAGAAGTCTTTTTTTGATAGTATAGGTATACATGCCCTTCATGCTATTTTATTTTGTAGTCAACAACGTTAGGCAAAACACAGAGATGGTGTAACAAATAGCAACCCAAAGAAATAAGAATTAGATGCTAAATGAAAAGAACCTGAAGCTAATTTATACCAACAGTATACCTCTATTGTTTTCTGTTCTTGCAACCATCCTTTCTCTTTTCTAATTGTTTATTTATCTATATTTCTGCAAACATCAAGAATCTTCAAATCTGTTGCCTGATACTTTCCACTTTGCATGCAGAAAGTACTATTTTGGCTTCCTTCAAATTTCAACCACAGCAACATGTATACAATGCTACCTAAGTAAGCTTGGGGACAGAGCATTTTGTTGCTTTCAAAGGGCTGGGAGTCATAGAAATAAGAATCAGGAGTCCTACCAAGTAGAGAAGAAACAGAACTCATTCTGCTTTCTTAGACGGGTAACCTTGTCCAATCTAACTCTCTGTGCTTTACCCAGGCATTTTGAAAGCTTGACCTATTGCAACAATCATTAAATCTTCAAGAAGTTAAACATGTCAGGCAAAACTTCTGTCCCCGATGACTACTACTAAACCTAACAGAATAAATGGAACCTAAATATTTAGAAACATCATTCCTGTAATTACCTATTCCTAAAAGAGAACTTTATCTATCACATTTATAAGCTGCCCATCTTACATAGTGACTCTGGTGGCATATATAATAAAGCCATCAAAGTACTTTAACAGCCAACAACTAATTTAATTTTTAAAAAATGACAGTAAAATATAGAAAAGAGTGCAGTGAATTTATCATATCGGCATCTAGCACACTTCACTCTATGTTGGGTTCCCAAGCTAGTTGACAAAGGGCCTTTCAGAAGGCCAAAATAGGGTTGGGGGCCAGCCTCATGATATTGATATTCCACAGGGTGGCAGCCACAGCAGAAAAGGCTTTTCCCCCAAAATCCTCTGGCTGACAGGACCCACCACATACCTCTCTCCTGCATTATGGTCATATAGGTGCTGTTACAGGTTGCAAACATTTCAAAAAAAGGATTAAATGGGTGCTTAACCTGATCCAATGTCTAGCAGTGTGCCGACAGAGACTCCCATTGTGCCTGCCAAACTCCCTGTCTCACCAGACTTTAAACAAAATTAACTTCTTTGATTTTTCATTAGAAATTGGCATAGTAAAAAAGCAAAATGATTGGCCATAGGCATAGGATGATTTTTATTTCCAAGATTGTATCTAGGCCCCACATGAACTCCATAGATTTTCTTAGAAAAGTAATGTTGGGGGGCTACAGCCCAATGATTTGTGTCAGCTACTACTTGTCCAGAAAAAAAGGAAAATATTCAAGCTGACAACCATTTTGTAAAAGTCCCCACAATATGTTCACAGTTCTCCAAGTTTATTCATCAATACCCAAAAGTTTGGGAACTCCTATTTGTATTTCTAAGATTCAGAAGATCCAGAAAGTGATACATTCCAACATAGTGAACTATCATACCCAACCCAGTTGCCCATTCATTAGAGTGGCTTAATTACTCTGATTAGTAGGAGCTATTTTGGATGATTGTCTTGGAATGCTCTCCAACTTCTAAAAAAACAAAACACTTGCCCATCTCTGGCAAATATACACATTTAGAATTAATATAAATTAGAAATGTATCATGCATCTCAGCATAATGGATAGTCTGTGAGCAGATGACCTCTATTTGCCCTGCCTGCTTTCCAATTTTTGAAGGTCAATGATATATCTTCTGCTCTCTTTGCTTATGGTTCTTTATTTTAAAAGCAGACATGGACCAGGCAGCCCTTCAAATAGTTGGATTCCATTAAAAAAGGACAAAAAGAGGTAATGCTTCTACGGCCATAAGTGGTACCAGTAATTTAGACACAGTCTAAATGCTAAACACTAACTCCCACCTGTTTTAAGAAAAGTGAAACTTGCATATAACAAATGAAAATCAGAAATAAATTAAAGCAACGTTCAAAATTTCAATGCAGAATGTTAGATAGTTGAATTTGCATTCTAGGTTATTGCCATTATTCAACTTGTATATGCTGCTATTTATATACTGTAACAAGGGATACAAAATTTTACATATTAGAGAATGTAAATCCTAACAAGAGACATTTATGGGGAAAGCTACATGAACCAAAAAACAAGAAATAAAATTGCAATGAATATACCCACACAAATAATTCCAAAGAAATGCTAAGGTGATTTCCCTAGGTTGATAAGGTCAGCAAGAGACAGTATCGTCATTTGTGATTGAGGGAAACTGAAATAATTTGTCATATTTAGATTATAAACATTCCTTTAAAAAAAGCAAGCTATGTACTATTTTCCCCGTGTCAATAATTGCCAAAAAAACCAACTTTTTTTCCAGTGCATTCAGAATCAGCTCCATTAAAGGGAAATGAAAGCTTTTTGCCACTTACCTGATGAAGACTAAGGAGACACAGTAAACTAAGTCCATTTGGCTTAAACATCTTGACGAGGCTTCCTCTTTAGATTCCTATTAACAGTTGAAATAAATGTCTGAGCAGCGATTCAAAACTGTGTTAAAATCTAATTCCAGCAAGTATGTTATTCACTTCTGGTTTCAATTGTACCACCCTAGTTTCTTTTCTAGGCAGGAAACCTTTACAGGAATTTGTCTCTCTTTTTATTTGTTTTGGTTTTCAGCATGGGATTTTTATTTTGAAATAAATACAGACAACAGGAAGGAAGTGAGAAGACACTTGAAAATACCATAAGATTATTACTAAACTAATCTTTATTACACAACCCTGAGCAAACAACCTGGTTAGACCCAAAGCTTCCCTTTGTGTGACGAAGAAAGTGTCATATACCTGAGAATTCTCCTTGTAACAAGAGACTCGAAGAGAATTTTGGACCCCGGACAATTTGTCCTTCCTCTAAAGATATAACATGGAAACAAAGTCTAATGGAAGGTAATGATTCTGTTTGAGACAAATAAGAACAAAAAAGTAAAGGGGGGGGGGAAACAGAAATATTTCTAGAAAAGGAAAAATAATTCAAAATGGTGGAAAGGGCAGGAGCTACCGCATACCGTATAATAGTGTTATCACTATTATAATTGTGCCACTATAGCTGTTCACTGTTAATTTTATAAAACTGCCTTTCCAACATGGAGGCAGAGGATACTTACATTCAACCTATCCCACCTTTTTTATTGATCCTCTTCATTTATTGGGAAGTTTTCCAATCAACCTACCACTGTCCTACTAGTAGCAATATGAAATTTAACTCATATATAAAAAAGGAATATGGTCTTAGATAAGTCAAACAAAACGGAAAAAAAATATCTAGCAAAATGCACATGACAACAAATGACATATACAGAAAAGTGGCGTATTCTACAATTCAGACTGATAGAACAATCAAACAGATATCAGATACTATGTAAAATCTATGGAAGCTAGTAAAAAGATTACATCTTACCTGGGGAATAAAAATTGTTTTAAAATAACACCTGCTTCCTTCACCTCTCTATTGTGCTGGTAGTGTCTCAGAATATCTGGAGATTTTTTACATGAAATCAAACATTAACTTTCTACAACGACAACCCCTGATCGTTAACATAAGGGTGTGGTTTACAACAGCAACCACAGCAATAAAATATGAAAAAGCTAAGTACATTTTCCATGTGTCCCTCCTTGCAAACTTATGATATTTTCCTTTTTTAAAAAATAAATTAGAAATTGTGAACAAACAAGTTTAGAAGGTATTATTTTAATAGATTTGTTAAGTAACATAATTAACATAATAATGACCTCGATTAATTTAGGCCTGGACATAACTCATGCTCCTGATATATTTGACTGTAGGACAATACCTGGAGAACAGTTCTTTAAACCCAAGGGCACTGCTTGTAAAATAAATATGTGAGGGGTCCTTGGTGCTCTCTGAGCTTGGTTGTTTTCTTGTCTATATTTCATTACCCAAATTAGGTAACTTTATTAGTGCTAGTAAGGGATTTCCTCTCAGTTTATGTTCTACTGACTTGCCCTGTCAACGTTGGTGGGGGTGGTCTTAGAGGTTGTTTGGTTGGGCTGTTTACTATTAGCTTGTTTGGAAGTTCCTTGATTGGGCTATTGTTTACTTCTTGATTGTTGGTCTGATGTTAATCCTGGAGTTAATCTATGGTCATCTGGGTGCTGCTTGCTGGTGGGGAGGTGTTCTGGTCTTTTTCCCCCCCTTTTTGGCTTGTTGGTTGTCTCTTTTGCCTAGTATGTAGATGTTGTTTATGTGTCTATTGATGGCACATCATTAAATAAATATGTTCCTCGCTTAAACCCTGAACACATAAGGGCTATCAAAAGACGATTCATAACATTAGAAATGCCAAACTGCAGACAATTGTTTGTTACAATATCCTTCAACACTGCGTGACAAATGTCATAAGTGAATGAGGCTCAAAACTTCTGGAAATAAGCAATCCTTTTCCAAACTTGGCAAATAACCTGAAAATTGCCTGGGTGAATGAATAGAAATGGGGTATATTCCTATTCCCAAGATAGCAATCAGGAAGTAGACCAAAAAGCATTACAGAGAAAGTCAATTTCTTTCTTGCTACGTAAAGTATTGGATATATTGAAATAGAAGATGAAATTTAAAAAAAAATTATTTAGAAGTGTTTTCACCTTGCCAACAGGCTTTAATAAAGTTATTACATCACTGCTCAGCAAAGAATTTTAACACCTTTAATCAGAATTATTCTTTTCAAATATGGCTCATTTTATTTCACTTTGGTGAAAGTGATAAAAAAAAAACAATTATTTACCACAATATTGCCACACTGCATTTTCCAGTAGTATAGTGCTCCTGTTCCTCTAATTAAAACTAACTTTAAAAGTCCAAGTTATTTTATACCTTCCTGTTCATTACTGAATAGTCTCGTAAAAATTTTCTCCTTAGTGCCAAACTCTAGTTCAATCAAAAGAAAGTAAATACAGGGATAATATATTTTCTTGCTGTTTAAACACTCCGTTTTTTATAGATAAAAGTATGATAATTTTTAATGTTTAAAAAGATGGCAGGAGAATAGCCTGCTTAATTTCATTTAAGTTCTTCCCACATAACATTACAGAAGAGCCAGGGAAAGGATAAACATAGGCTTTTAATTTTGATTTTGGAGAGAAAAACATTACAACAACGGTTATTCTATATATGCTGTGTGATCCTGGCTACTTGGCTGTTTCCCCTAAGAGAGCACAGATCACAATAGTTAAAGATGGATCCCTGCAACTAGGATCAAGTAGAAGATTTATTGAAACACCCCCCCCCCCCCAAAATCTGTTGCTCATCAATTCAGGACATATTGGGCTTCAGAAATCCAAGAGTCTCATCTGAGTGCCCATGTTAATTGTATTTTAGAAATGAGTAAGCTGAAACTGAAAGTGATGAAGGAATGTAACATTAGGCTTTCATTTAGGACCATTAATGGGGCAAAAACAGTTTTCATGGGAACACAGCCTACTCTATCTAAGTAACAACCTTCTGAAGAAAAGTCACCTTCTGAAAGATTATTTAGTTGATAAATTTCCATAATTAAAGCAACTGCAGAGTATAGCAAAATGAATTAAAAGGCAAATACGAAGGAGACCGTGGATATTAGGAAATAAAACCTATAAAATAATCCAAATCAAGTATTTTTATTGCTTAGTCTAAGCGAAAGAAAAATTGCAGCAAAAATCTCTTTCTCTCTCAGTGACATTTTTGAGTGTGAGTGATGAAAACAGACTGAGCAGTAAGATGTTTAATGCTTGAGTCAGTTTTTCCATATACAACTTTTCTCATGCTTATGTTTCCTCTGCCATCCATTAACTTTCTTCTTGTCTTTTTCTTGCCTCAGTTGATCTCTGTTTCTCTGTTAATGTTGCTAATTTCTCCATTTCTCTGTAATATCAAAAGTCTTTCCTCTTTTTATATCTATTTGTAGGATGGAAATTTGCCTAGTTTTATTAGCTTATTAAGAAAAAAAAGCTTTTGTAAGCTATGAATTAATTTTAGCCAGCATTATTAGTTGTGTCTTTGTCTGCTAGAAATAACATTTGTTTAACATCTGCAAGCAAGAGCTAAAGGGTTCTGCCATAAACATGCTATAGGCTAGCCACAAATGTCTCCCATATAGACTAGCTGATATTGTGGCTTTAACACTCAGCTAAGACACCTTGCAAACAAATGCATTACTGGAATCAAGGAAGTATCATAATTAGCTTGAGCAATGGTCAGAGAAGTTCGGACAAGGGCATGGAGGTAAGGAAAGATCATTTTTAGCATAGTAAGAAACACACCTCAAGATAGTCAACTTTTATGATAATGAAATATGATTAAATAAGCAATGGGATATTAGGAGATTGCCTTGGTTTGTGTGCATGTGTGACTATCATGCAATTTTGTGACCAATCAACAATTCTCTTACTTTTGTTTCCCATATGAAATTGTATTTTAAAAAATTGTGCCCGATTTCTGGTGTGCTCCTTGGATATGAAACTCTTATATTAATACTAATATTCAAACACATTTCAACATCCTCTTATGCTTCTGTATAGAAATAAACAAGGTTTTGTTGTTCCCTGATCCTGTGTCCAAGTTGGCTTCTTCACACTGGGTTCCCATACTTAGCCAGCCTTCTGGGCAACATATCTGTGGACAACTCCAAGCTAACTGCTTTTCTAACTTAAATGTGGATGTAACCGTCCCAACTTTTATTCATATTCTTTGTAAAATGTGATGCAACTGAGGAAGGGAGTATCTTTTATTTATTCCTTTGAAATAGTGTAACCACTCTTCCATTTTTAAACTTAAATAGTCGCCATTTTAATTTTTTTTAAAAAACAGCCTTAATTTCTTAACAGGAGACTATTCCGATGATCAAATGTTTATGAAATATTGTAAATATGAAAGAAAACAGAATTTAGGTTGTTATGGGCTCAGTCCTCTCTTCTCTAAGCAGGGAGGGGATTAACGAACAGAGCTGACAGATTTAAATTTCTTGGATGAAAGAGAAGTCAGTAGATTTATGATGCTTTATAAAATCTGTTTCATTTGAAAATATACAAGCAGAGTACAGTGGAGGCAAACAGGCCCTTGCAGTCCATTGCTCAATGGCTGATTCTGCGTCAAACTTGGAAAAGAATATCTGTGTCAGCCAACTTCAAGGAGTCCTCCCAGTTCATACCCCAGATGAAATGACATCCTGTCTTCCTGGCTGCTTCCAACTTTCATTGAAAAACTAAAATGAGCCTGTGGGCATATCCACACTTACTGTTCAGGCTACTCCTCTCCTCTTTTCCAGAAAAGTAAGTGCAAAACATTTTCTCAACATCTCCCTATCCCCTTTCCATATACTGGGAGGGAAATATAGGGGGGGGGGAACCCTCAGGAAACTCAATGCTACCCTTGTGACATGGAGGCCCTAGAACAGTGGTGGCGAACCTATGGCACGGGTGCCAGAGGCGGC